TATATATAATTTAATTAATTTACTGTAAAAATGGCATGTCTCACAAAATCCTCTCTGCTCGAAAAAAAGAATAATTAAGCTGCTGCTTTTTTAAGATATTAAAATATTACTTTCATATAATATAATATAGTCAAATGACATTCCTTTCGACTTTGATATACTTTTTAATGAACAATCATTTATCGAGTTATCAGAGAATAAGATATGAGTATGATATCATGTTTACAATATCGTTGCATTAATTCTAAGTAATAAGAGCAGTGTGCAAACTTACCCGATGATGGAATTAGTAGCCATCATGAAATCGCTATCGTGCACATTCATCACACTTGCTTTGAAAAATTTTGACTTTGTTTGAATCTTAAGAAACTTATCAGGACTAACGCGCAGTCGGTATACATCGCTCGTATTTTCACCGAGTTGAAGCGTATCGCTCAAATGTTTCGAGAGCGTATTGAGATCATGAGGGTGGCACAAATCCTTAATCGTTGTGCCTATCAGGTCCTGCAATAGAACGTATCTGTGAATATCTCTCAAGCAATTCTGCGATACGTAAATAATTATATAAATATTATCCTTGTTAGAAATATAGCTTAAAATATCTTATCTCAATCTTAAAAACTAATTTTGGAATAAAAATTCTTTTAATCAACTTCGATCAATTATTTCCTCAATTTAAATATGTGATTTAAAAATAACAATTCAAAAATATCTTCTTTTTCAGCGTACAGAAAAGATATTATCTTTCGGCATAAATATGCATAAAATAAAAATATTTTAAAAATGACTTGAAAGCTGTTGGAAAATGTATTGTTAAATTATCATCATCAATCATATTTAATCTTCTTCTAATTGAATTAAATAATAGTGAACAAATGTGATTAATTTTGTACTGTAGCAAAAGAAAGATAATAAGAGCTTTCGCATAAAATATAAAATATTTTTGATAATTATTAAATATATTAAATAAATTTCAAAGAAAACTCATATATATATTTTTTTAAAAAAATTTATATTACACACACACACAAAGTAAAACAAGAAAATGATCTTATTCAGAGTATTTCTCCGTAAAGAAACACTATTTGCTTCATATAATAGCGTCCAATTATTATTGAATTGGCATATCGGAATGAACGTAATAGTAATCAAGATATACGATGTGGTTGTACGCACCCTTACCTTGCTTAGGTACTTGGAGTAAACGGGGGATAACCAACTGACGTCAACCGCGATAATCTTCCCAGTGGTATCCAATTTGACGGTGAATTGTTCAACGGGAGGTGGACCAATGGGTTTCTCGATTGGCGGTATTCTACGCGCTACGCACATCACGCAAGGACCAATGTCTGACGACTCGGAGGACACATCACCGCTCTCCAGACGATCAGCGTTACTGGGCAGAAGAGCAGAACAGATTTGCATAGACTCGTACTTCGATACTCGCTGTTGCTTCTCTTCCATAGTCTCGTCCTTATCATCGGGAGGCTTCACCAAGAAGCGGCAATTGAAGGTGCGGTTCCTGGTCTGAGGTTGCGGCTCGCTGGTCCAGCCTGCAATATATCGAACTCGAGTATGTCATTTTTTTAAACGCGAAAGAATTATATCGCGCTAACATTACAGCTAATTAAAAATCAATCTAATTTTACTCGCTTTTCAGTGCAGGATATTTCTATTTCGCATAAAATATAAAATATTTTTGATAATTAATAAATATATTAAATAAATTTCAAAGAAAACTCATATATATTTTTTTAAAGAAATTTATATTACACACACACACACACAAAGTAAAACAAGAAAATGATCTTATTCAGAGTATTTCTCCGTAAAGAAACACTATTTGCTTCATATAATAGCGTCCAATTATTATTGAATTGGCATATCGGAATGAACGTAATAGTAATCAAGATATACGATGTGGTTGTACGCACCCTTACCTTGCTTAGGTACTTGGAGTAAACGGGGGATAACCAACTGACTAAATATATTAAATAAATTTCAAAGAAAACTCATATATATATTTTTTTAAAAAAATTTATATTACACACACACACAAAGTAAAACAAGAAAATGATCTTATTCAGAGTATTTCTCCGTAAAGAAACACTATTTGCTTCATATAATAGCGTCCAATTATTATTGAATTGGCATATCGGAATGAACGTAATAGTAATCAAGATATACGATGTGGTTGTACGCACCCTTACCTTGCTTAGGTACTTGGAGTAAACGGGGGATAACCAACTGACGTCAACCGCGATAATCTTCCCAGTGGTATCCAATTTGACGGTGAATTGTTCAACGGGAGGTGGACCAATGGGTTTCTCGATTGGCGGTATTCTACGCGCTACGCACATCACGCAAGGACCAATGTCTGACGACTCGGAGGACACATCACCGCTCTCCAGACGATCAGCGTTACTGGGCAGAAGAGCAGAACAGATTTGCATAGACTCGTACTTCGATACTCGCTGTTGCTTCTCTTCCATAGTCTCGTCCTTATCATCGGGAGGCTTCACCAAGAAGCGGCAATTGAAGGTGCGGTTCCTGGTCTGAGGTTGCGGCTCGCTGGTCCAGCCTGCAATATATCGAACTCGAGTATGTCATTTTTTTAAACGCGAAAGAATTATATCGCGCTAACATTACAGCTAATTAAAAATCAATCTAATTTTACTCGCTTTTCAGTGCAGGATATTTCTACGAGATTAAATTGGAAAATCGAATTAAAAAGTTTTATGATACATCTATTTATAGTAACATTAAAGCCTGAAAAATTTTAATATTTTAAGAAGTCCAAATAAATCTTGTTTTTTCAATTAATTTGAATTAAATAAACTTTAAGAACTAAATTTCTTAAAAATTCTTTCTAAGGAAAGAAGTGACATCAAAATTTATCTCAAAAATTATGTAATTAAAATTCAAAGCGGATATTATGATGAAGCATCCTGCACAACTATAGATATGATGAAGCATCCTGCACAACTATATATATTATCATAATTATAATTTTTGGGAAAAAAATTCAAAATATAAGAATAAAGATTAATTGACCAAGACTGTGATTGGATTAATATATGTGTACATGCAATGCAGGGACAATGGAAATCATGATTAAAAGAAGCATTCCATCAGAAATACATGTGCCATTCCTCGACTTAATGGAAACTATTTTTAACTACAAAGGATGAAATAAAAAATGAGGAAATGAAAAATGAGACTCTGAAGGAACAGGATCTTTGCATTGAATTATTCATGACCTGCTAATTATGCTTATCTACAATCTACCCTATTCAAATAGCACAACCCCTAAGGAAAGGAATGTACCACCGTTCGCGATACAGTTAAAAATACATACCTAACGAAGACATAGGTAACAAACTAGGCATAAAGGTGTTGTGATCCCCATGATGAATAATATTGTAAATATCCTTTCCGAGTACATCGTCCTTCGTGTAATTTATGTACTGCGTTATGTTCTCCGTAACGTACTCCACGCGGCCCTCCGTATTTACAACAAATAGAAAGCCGTCTAGCGCCTGTATGAAAAAAAATATGATTAAATTTATTAATAATATTTTTTTTGGAGTAATGCAGTTGTTAAAAGCCATCACACACAAAATTCCGTAAGGGAGTAAGACGTAAGCGTAAAAAAATGGACCAATCCCAATTGAGTATTTGGCTCTCCGTAACCCCTCCATTTTTATGGAAAGCCCGATACTCGATTGGGATTGGTCGATTTTCTTACGCTTACGTCTTACGTCCTTACGGAATTTTGTGTGTGATGGCCTTAATGCAGAATAATTTTTGAAGGAATGCAAAGTAATGCCGTTTAAAATTTTTCTCTGATACATTCTTCAATTCTCGAACAATATCTAATGATGAAAAAAATCTGAATTTAATTTCACTTATTAATTCAAACCGATAATACGAACCTCGAGTAAGATAGGGCCAACTTGATCGTTGGACAGTATGTTAGGATTCGACGAGGACACTTCCCCCTGTTGTACGGCATGACTATTGGAGCCCTCTTGTTGCCTAAAGTGCCGAATCTGCCACAAAAAAAAATAAAACACGAATTAAGTAATGTTTTTTGTAATCACTGCGTATTCTATTCATCATATATTACACTGTAAATTTACAGGCTATCATGAGCTATGCATAGAGGATCTTTGAAAACGCAAAGTCAATTTGTAATCTCTTTTCCTTTTTTTTTTGGAATACTCTGTATATAAAAATTGTGCAATACAATAGATATATGATCAACTGATAATAAATAATAACATTATCCAGAAGAATATATAATCACAAATATTTATAATATCTGTACCAAATTTTCTATAAATTTTACAAATATTATAAAAGTCTTATAACCATTAAAATAAATACATCGCATCGATATCTATGTTTATCTCACTATAATTTGACATGCGTAAATTTGGGAGCAGATCCCTCATAAATAAGTGGTGTCTAAAAAAATTTTACGATTGCTTAATGTAATTTAAAAAATTAATGACATAGAATAAAAAAAATATAATCATATAGTACCAATTTCAACTTTCGTAATTTTGATATTAAAAGGGCTGCGAGGAAGCCTTTATCTCACATTCGATTTAGGTAATCGTCTCTCATGCGTTCGTCTCGCCTCACTAATGTCCGTACAAAAGCGTCG